ATTATTATTATTATTATTATTATTATTATTATTATTATTATTATTATCATTATCATTATAATTATTATTATTAATATTATTATAATTATTATTATTATTTTTATTATTATTATCATTAAATGAAAAAAATCTAATATGTTTGTTCGTTCAAACTGCATTGTAAATTTTTGTAACATTTTTTTCTTAGTGTTAAAATAATTAAATTTGTACAACGTATTATTAATATAGGGCACGAACCCTACTCGTTAAAAGTATTTGATTTATTATTTAAGATCATTTTATGTTGAATTTAATTTACTAGACTGCTGTATTTTGCATTGTTCAAATAGGTGTATTAAATATTTGTATATTTTGTAAAACCTTGAAATCAGATTACACAAATAAAATTATGTGGTTATTGATATTTGCTGATAGAAAAATTGGTGCTAATAATATTTTAAACCTTGGTCATACGTCATACTCATTATCTCGAGCACCGTGTTATCGTACATATTTTACTCTTTTTGATGGTTTCCTATTCAGATAATGACTTCAAACATCCAAAGTTTTAAGCGTTAAACGTTTTTTTTTTAATTTTTTTATTAGTATTCCGTTTGAATAAATCCTAAATTATTGTTATCGTACGTTTAGCTTCAACGAATGGACGATTCATTAAGTCCTTTTAGGTCGTTATAACGTTTGTTACCAGCTATATATTATAAAGTTTTTACTAAATATCTTAGTAACGAACTGGAAATAAACTTTCAACAGTCTAGGTAAATTTTTACCGTTTTATTTTAACATTATAAATATTGGTAAGCAACTAAATTTATGTAACACAAAGCGATGATTCGTGTAAAATTTTGATTTTTATAAACGTGGGGAACGATATTAAAATAGTTTCATGATGGTTACCATGTAAGTTGTGTGTTGAGTCTTATCATATTATTACGGTATGTACTGTGTTACTTTATACATATATGTTACGAGTAATGTTAACATTTGGATAAAGTTGACACATTAGCCGGATAAAACAATATTAGCCATATGTAATCATATGATAATCAACCATGAATATTATTAAATGTTGACTAATTTTAACATTAACCGGGTAATATAATGTTAGCCAAGAATTTTTGGATAATGTCTTAACAAAATAAAAATACATCACACATGAGATAAAATAGTTTTAATTCATTAATAATATTAAATATATTTAAGACACAATAGATATAATATTAATCATATAATGTATTGAAATAATTAATTATTATTAAACAATATAAGTTTATTTTTAATGAATTACCTACTCTTAGTACAACATTAAATCGAATATTTTATTTTATATTTTAAACAATTTTATTCTATTTTAAATATAGAATTAAAGTGTTATCCTTTATTATTCCATGGCATACTTATATGACATTTTGAATTGCACAAAAAACTAAATTATTTACGCTTACATCGATTGGTGTTACATTTACCTTTACATGAACACCTTTTGTATCCTAGACGATCACCATTTGACATTTGAGTCCTGATTTCCTTCAATGATTTTTGAACATGTACCATCTCATCTAGCGGAATTAATAGCAATGGACATACACTGAACTGGTTTCTGGTGTATAACTTTAGCAAAAACTTTAACTTTAACTTTAGCACGTATTTTCAAGTTTATAGTATTGTCTATCCTCAATAGATGCGACTGCAAACATAATATTTCTTGGGTCCATTCCTCCTCTATCCTTTATCTTACCCATTCTGTTTAATATGTAACTTTTAAGTTTCAAAATTATTAAAAACTGACTGGCTAACGTTAACGTTATCTGGAAAATGTTGATATTTCATACATGTGGAAGACAACAAGATATCTCCATATCTGATTTCACTGGTGTTTATAATTGGGTATCTTGTTGGCACATATTTAAAATTGTTATTATTTTTCTTAATACTTTTTAGTTGTATTTGATATATTGAATTGTCAGTTTAATTTTTATATGAAATATTATTGTGATCGAACAGTTAACTTCCAAATTAAGTGACGATTTTTAATTATACAGACTATAAGGTGTGTACGGATCAACGATGGAGTGGTTTTAAAAACTTTGGAAGCTATTGCACACGACTAATATTATGCAAATACAATACGATCAGTATTAACTGTGTATAGATTTAAATCTATTTTAAATATTATCTCATTTAATACATTTCATGCATGGTTAGTTAATACGGTGTATTCGATATTCGTTAGTTCGTGGCAGTGTTATTTCACATTAATAATTGCAGCTCAGAACTTAAAAAGCCAAGAGAACGCAAGGATAGTCAGTCCCCCTCTGTCTCTCATTACAGCAATTAAAAATCGTTTTCATTTTTATTTCTTCAAAAAGTGTACTGGAACGCTCAAATGTTTAATAAAAACAATGCCTTACTTTAAAGATGACTATTAGGTTATAGATATATAGTAAAATTTTTATATAAAAAAAAAAAAATGTTTTATTTTATAACCATCAACTTTTTTTATTTCGTTTTGCTGGCGGTCGACCGTGGCTAAGAGATTCCGGTAATCCATACGAACGAACTCGTATCCAATATTAGAAATTACATACTGTATATGTGTGTGTATGACTTATTAGTAATATTTTATGGACAATAGGTATATGGAACGTTTCATTTGGCGTAGGGATCATGAATCACCAAAGTTATTTTACCACCTGCAACTCTGGATTTAGTAATATGATAAATTTTTTTATTACAAATACCTAGCATGATTTTTTTGTAGTCAAAACCTTGATTTATTTGAACAATGTAGATGCATCTAGACCATACAAATGAAATAAAATTTCTTTAGTATACACATTTAATTTTTGCAGAATGTCAGTTGAATGAAAAAAATTGTAGGAAGCGGCAATCGGTTAAATCAACACTTGTTAACAATGTACATATTACATCAATGCATTTTTTTCTATTATTTCACAAAATATTCTCAAAATATAAAATGCATTATACTTGTGTAGATGTGTTTTAAAGATTTATCCATCGTTTCGTCGTTTGAGAAATATCTATTACCATTAAATATTAATTACTAAAAGGGACAACAGTAATGATGTTGATACGTAGGTATGTAATTTGTATTGATGATGTGTAAGTGAAGTTGATAAAACATATTTTTTCCACTTGATTCACATAATTGTTATAAATAATTATCGATTTTGATAAGAAAGAAGCTCAAGGTGCCCTTTTATACAAAAATAAATGTTATTTCACCAGTAAAATACTTACCGCTCTCTACCGTTGAATTTCCATACCAACAGTTGTATGTGAGTTCGATAGATAGAAAACCACTTTAAAATATACAAAATAATATTATGTATTTTACGGGGCAGATGACAAGGACAACAGACGAGATGATAATGTTCATAATAATCAAACATACGGAGCAGTGGCGCAACCAGGAATTTTTTAAGGGGAGAGGGGTCTAAAAATATAATTATTTTAAAGTAGCTAGCAAATTTAATTATTATTTAATAGTTTGATTAATGCAAATATTGTACTTATAATGTAAAACTGAATGACAATTAAATGTATTATGTAAAAAAATAAAAGGTAAAAGGTATGTACAAGATTATAAATTGAAATCAAAGCAATGTTTTGTACAGCTTAAATATTGTATTACTTCATCAGGTGTTACACTAACTTCGTAGTGGTCACTGAGAGTAGCTAATCCATTGAGTCTTCTTTCTGATATGGAATTTCTTAAATCAATCTTCGAATGAATTATTCAATTTTGCCAAACATAATTTTAGAAAGATACGACACGGTACAAGGAAGAGGTCCTGACCCGGGGACCATCCCTCTGGTTGCGCCACAGATATGGAATGAAGTAGTATTACTTGTTATACCTTAACTTTCTATCGAATTCGGAAAGAATACAGAACACGAATTTACAAATTAAACACTGGTTAATAAATCATTTCAGACGGTTCAATGTATTATATATCAGCCCATATTTTTCATAAAAAATTGTACTACACATTTTTAATGTACAATGATATGATACAAAACCCCCTCTACCCCCTTCCATATTATTATAATTTTAAGTACAATGACACTAGTAATTTTTAGTAACAGTTATTTTTTATGAATTAAATTGCTCATTATAATTAGGTAATCTAGTAAAATTACGTAACTACCAATCCGTTATTTTTTAAACTGGAAATATACTTTTGTCTGGTATAAATCTGTTAATTATTTACAAATGATTTTTTTTAATGTGGGCTGTATAACATAAAATGTCATACATAATGTCTTCATCAGCTGTCTTGTTTAAACTGGCTTCCTGAAAAACATCTTCATAGTAGTCTTATTTATTAGTATTTAGTAGGTACACACTTCTCGAATCCGTAGTGCACACTTCCTGTTTCGGACTACACACTTTGTATCGAGGTTCACTAAAAAATAGAGACTGATATATATGTATATGAAATAAATATGGAAATGTGTGAAAAAATATGTTTCAATGTATTAAAAAATTTTTTCCACTATTTTAATTTCTACCATCATCACCATTTCATCACTTCTATTCATTTGTCGCAACTTGTTTGTAAACATATCTATGGATTTCAAACAGTACCAAACCAAATAAAAGGTTGCCCGGACAACCTATTTTAATCTCTCTAGTAACATCTCTTAACAGTCAAAACAATGGCGTTAAGATCTTTTTTTGGCTAATTTACCATTCGTTCACAATTCTATAGATATTTAATAATATGCATATTTTTAAACATTGCGCGACAGTAGAAATATCACTAAACTAAGATGATAAAACAAATAAATAACACTATGGGATGTTAACGTGAATAATATATTATTATAATTAATAATAAGAATAACTCAATGCTAATCTTATAAAATTTAAACGTCCAAAAATCTATACGATTTTTAATAACAGTTTTTAATAAACATTAAGTTAGGTTCTAAAATCTTATAATCGATATATTAGATTGAAAACGTTAAAAATCAAATTTTAATATTATTATTGTCAATATATTATATAATGATGATACCTATATAAATAACTACATCATACAATCAGAAATAGGGAATTATATACGTTTATGGAACTAACATTATCGTTACAATATTATTATACAACTTGATTTTAATTAAGAACATTTAAAAATCCGCAAAATGTTTACCTTGTAGTCTGAAAACATATACTATATGTATATAAATACGGCCAGTAATCACTAAAAACGTATGCCCAACGTTTATACATTATCTCTAACTGTAATTTTAAGTTTAACCGATCAGTAATTTAATTAATTAATGATTTTATTAGTGATTTTTAATTACTATATTCGATTACACGAACTGTTCGAAACAAATGATTCGTACAACGGTTGGGATCGTCGAAAAAAGTAATTCAATTGATGCGAACAGACTTGGTAAACATTTTGAGGCATTTCGAATGCTACCGATATCGTTAGTTTTGTATAGTATAAATTAACGCGGAATTGGGAAACGTGAAACGCGCGTACGCTAAAGATTATCCCTAAAGATTATCCAGGAGATCCGAAATAATAACGACAGGCATTAAAACTATCCGCGGTGCAATCGGCAGAAACCGCGCGGGTTCACGATATCCGCTGGGTGTCGTTTCTGGACACGCACGTCGGTATGGAATTCGACCATTTGCCGTGTTTCAAGCACCTCAACACGGGAGCGCCTTTGATCTTCAAGCTTTCGTCGCACGTGAACGTGATGACGTCACCGATAGCGTAGTAGAATTTGACCGTGGACATCCGGCCCCGGATCACAGTGCCCGGATACGGACATGCTTGAACACCTGCAACACGCGGTAAAAGTGCACGGTTTTAGGAAGGACGTCGAGACGGAAACGTTGCCGCCGCGCGGATACCGAGCGAAAAGCGACTTTGAAAATATTACAGGACGAACGTAAAAGCTCAGTCTATGTGTACACACACATACACATATATATATATACATATACACACATGAACATATTTACATATCAACATACGTATATACCAGTATACGGAATAGGATAAGTTAATGAAAATAATTAAATCGAGTTAAGTCAAGAGAACACAAGATCGATAAGTTAAAAGTAAATAAGGGAAAAAATATTACTCGGTTTAAAAATAGCCAATCTAGATTTTTTAATAAGTACGTAGGTCACTCAAAAAGTGACTGCGTTCTTTAAAAAGATCTAATTTCCTAAATTTTAATAAATAATTTTATTGAATTTTTTTATCATAATATACAGCAGTGGCACCGAAGTGTGAAAAATACTATGACATTGTACATCAAGGGGCCACTCACTACCGTATTTATTTATCTTTATAGTTAAAATTCTTTATGCAAAACATTCTGGCCAGAACCCAATACCCAAGAGTGGATCTCTACAAAATCTAATATGACCTCTGATGTACAGTGGATGCGATCATTTTACTTTACACGATTATTTGGTTTTTATATTAATATTTACGTGTAAATGAGAAATTTCAAAAATGTTTAACTTGATAGATCATTTTTAAATCAACTGTGAAAAGCCGAGTTATTTCAATTACCAAATAAACTAGTTAAGTTAAAAAGTTAAAAAAAAAAATTAACTTTTTAACTAGTTAATGCCCACCTTTGCCAGTATATCATGTATATTTTATATACATATAATTATTATACGTAATATATATATATATATATATATATATATATATATATACATATATTCATGTGAAAAATACATGTGCAAATGTATACATTTATACCGTATGCACATGCACGTATATACGTATATGCGGATGGGATTTTAATTTTTGGCCAGGAGATGATCCGTCATGACACGCTCCCCAGATATTTGCAGCATTTGTTCGAAGTCGCTAAACCTATTTGTACAAATTAGCACGCGTGCACCCGTTCTTCCCACTTACAGATTGGCATTGGCGCTGACCACTCTCCGTTGTCCTGACAAATAAGTTTGGGCTGACCGTCAAGCACGTAGTACGGTTCGCAGCTAATCGACACGTGTTCGCCGGGCCGGTACGAGCTTTGAGAGACGGCCGCGTAACCGTGCGGCGGGTCTCCTGGCCAAGGACAAGTGACCGCTACAACACATCAATTACACTTAGGGCCCGAAATCGATTTCGTGAGTTCCGGGTACGGTGGGAGGGAGGGGAGGGATCAGAGTTTTTCGAAGTCACTGAGTACCCGCGAAAATTCGATAACCTCCCCTAATCATGCGATACTATTTTCAAATCTAATCGTGTTTATTCTGATGACACGTTCTAGACAATTACAACGATAATTGATTAAATTGTTTATAGACCTGCACAGGTAGGGAAAGGTTGCTCCCATTCTCCAGTCGGTAGGCACGTAGAGTGTGTAGGCCCATCGAGTCCGAACCCTTGCATACAACTAAACATTATTTCACCACCTACTTGACGGCTGAGCACAGCTATTCGTAAATTCGGGTCAGTCAGGTTATCGATTTTTTCACATTCTATGACTACAAGAAAATACAATTTACATATATTCATGATTATTTGAAAACAATTAAACAACTTGAATAAAATATTTAGCCTTTACAATAATAGTTTTATTTGATTAAAAAACAAAATATGGTTGATACACTTACCCGCACATGACGGAATTGGATCACTCCAGTTACCCGAAGGCAAACAGACGATTTCAGAAACTCCGATTAGATTATTGCCTTTAGCGCAGGAAAACTTTACTCGAGAGTTTAGTTTCGTGTTTTGTGAACCAATGATTAAATTTCGTTTTGATGGTATTGAAGGACAGTGCACGGCTGTAATAGTTCAGGACAAGACAATATTTTTATTCACTTATTAATAATGAAATATTGTAGATTTATTTAAAAAAATTAATCAACCTTTAACGATTATCTCCACCGAATGTGTGTGTCGCGTGGGAGTTATGCAAGAAAATACTCCAGAGTCATCCCTACTTGCATGGTAAATACTCAACCGATATTCAAGATCCGGATCTCTGCCTGGATCGGTCGTCCAACCTTCTGGATACTTTCTACGATCAATATAAAGACATGGTGGAATTAAGATCATCAATTATCTATTTGTAATATGAGTACACTAAAAAGTATAATACTCGTTACCGAAACGAATGGCTAACGTTCCATTTCGGAGTTCCAAATCTCTTGATCCACAAACACTCCATATGCAATATTGTTCCTGGATACACGATTAGCCGTCCTTCGTTGCTTTGTGCTATTGGTCCAAGCTGATGGCGGAATAGTATCGTAGGCGGTTTTTCCACTTAAAATCAAATCCGATACACAATTAAGTACTACACTTTTTTTACATTTCGTAATAATTCCTTACAATAGGACTAGATAATATAAGACTGGACATAAAACTTTCCCATGAAAGATGTACATTCTTCTTGACAAACCATTATGATAATACATTAAGTTAATAAAATATTTATAAAAGTAAATCATACTTTTGATATCATTTAGATGATTAAGAAATAAAAATATCTCTCAACCAGAAGTAAAATAATTACAGTTTTTGACGAAGATAGAATCCTTAACGCTTAATGGAAAAATTATGAAATTTTTCAGCGGGAAAATATTAAAAATAACAAAACGTATTAAAATATCAAATCATACATGCGTAATCGTTCTCTTGGTTTAGTCCAAAGCAAACCGGACGTTGTCCGGTCCATTCGCCATTTGAACACACTCGCCTGTTGGATCCTTCCATTGCATATTTTCCAATATCCGAACATCGAGAAACCTAAGACGAGTGCATTTTGAAATTATTTATTCTTAGTATATTATATTTCTATTTTTGTTATTAAATTACCAAAACAGTTCCTGCATTAAATTCTGTTAGCTCATTTGTGATCATCGTATCGCTTATAAATGTCACAACGTTTGGCTCACTGTTTCTGAACATACAAGTTGTATTATCCACAGAGGAATTCGTAGTTTCAATGGGTTTTGCTGAAACTTGATTATTAATATGTATATCTTAATGAATGTCTAAAATAAATTTAATCGACTCACTGCAGTTTAACGATCTCCCAATCCAGTTTCCATCCTCACATCTTATACGCCATGTCACTTTTTCGTCTACTATGTTTCCAATACAATTAAACGTCACTTCCGTTCCATCGGGAAAACTTTTATTTTTGGATACAAAATATATGAAAAACAATTTATACTAAGTACTCTATATAATTTACCTTTTTTCTGCTTCTTTTAGCAGTTCACCATTTCTAAACACCATTGATCCATGAACCGTTTCTGGTGGGCCACATGATCCTCGAAGCCCAGATAATAGATCAATGGTACCTAATTCACTTTTTTTCAAAATATCTCCACCGGTAATGAATAATCCACCGTCTACAAATATGAAGCGATTAATGAAAATTGTCGTACTACTCGCAGTATACGACCAGAAAAAAAATCTAAAACTACCTCTTTTACAAGAAGGAACCTTGGGAACTAAACGTCCTAACACACATTCTATGGAAACTAATGTAGTCTTTATAAATTCTGGATCACATTGAAAGGTAACGAATGATCCATTAGCTATCGTAAGGCCGGCTCTGTATCCGAGCAAATATTGTCCATGGGTAATGGCAGGTAATTCGCATGGGGCTGAAATTAAATTAATCATAGTAATTCATTTTTTAATTCTATAGTTTCTGTATTATTTCACCAGGTGTGCACTCAGGAACAGCAGTACCAACGTCCCAGTCACCCTTTATGCATTCCATTCTCGAAAAACCTTTCAAGTTGAATCCAGGATAGCATGTAATAGTCACCACTTCTCCGTCCATAAGCTCAGTACTTTCAGTTACGTTTAAATATGTAGGTTCCACTTTACTATAGAATCCATTTGCCGAGTATGGTATTAAACAAGGTTCTGTAAATGCGATTAAAATGTTATATAGATTACTCGTGTTATAAAAATTGGTCTATTTTATTTTAACTGAGTTTGCAATCTGGTTTTCCTGGTTTCCAGCGAGTCCTCCAGCATTTTGCTGTTCCATTGACCACGGTCGGTTGGTACCCATGATCACATGTTACTTTTAGTAGGGTCCCGTGTGAGTGAGTGATGTTTGCGTGCTTTCCTTGTTTTACAATTTCAATATGCATGTTAGTATTATTTTTCAAAGGTTCGCAAGGACCCACTGTAAAATAAATAATAAAACGCAACATTTTTAAAGATTATATAAACTTAATAATAATTCATATACACTATAGCAATACCTTTTCGTTTTCCATGTTTGCCTTTTCCTTTAGAACCTTTATGAGGACCTTTTTCTCCATCTATTGTAGAATTACCATCTTCAATATCATAATCTTTAAACGATAAATCTCCAGATTCACGACCTCTAGATCCTCTATTGACTCCTGGATTTTTAGCAGTTTGATCTTTATTAGATGTCTGTTTTGCTTTCATGACTTGTTGATTTTGTGCAGATAATGCACGTTTACTCCTTGTCCACCAAGTTTTGATTGAAGTAATTAAACTGTCGATTTGAGGAAAATTTGGTTTTTCCGTAATCAATACATCTGGATTAGTATCATTCTTAATAGATCTGCTTAGTCTGAGTTTTGGATGTATTGATGGTACGCACCTAAAAATTAAAATTAAAATAGTGTCGCTATAATCGTTATTATTGTGTTTAAACTTATTTAAAACCAGTTTTTTTTGTAAAAATTTAAATTTAAGATTAAAGATTTAATTTTTTTTTTTAGTTATTATCAATATTTTACTTTGGAAGATATCCAGGGCTCCATTTTCCGCCGATACAAGTCGCACCTACAGGCCCAGATTCGATTACAAATTCTCGATCACACTCAAACGCAATTTGTTTATTATTTTTTATTTTGCGGACATAAGGTCTATAATCATAAACACCCATGCTTCCAACCAACAAAACTTTACCGTGCTCAATATATCCAGGAAAAGTGCAATAAACTGAAAAGTACGAAAATCGTATTTTTTAATATCAAAAATAGTTCATATGTCATAGTAAAATATACCTTCTTCGCATTTTGGAGTTTCTCCAGACCAATTTCCGAATCTACATTCTGTGTATCGGTTCCCCACCAATGTATAGCCGTCTCGACATGAAAATTTTGCCTTGGCGCCATGCCCCATTCGAGGTGCCAAAACTATGCCATTTTTTGGAATCAGGGGTAGACGTTTGCAATGAGCTGAAAATGTTAGTTCAAATCTTTCAATGAGTTCACTTTTACAACAAATATTATATTTAAATTTTTTGCAAAGTTGTAATTACTAATTATTACGTTAATTGTTCATGATCAACATTAGCGAATCAAATTTCAGTTTATAGACATTAATACAATACAATTAACTATTATTAGAGATAACAATAATACTCAATATTTTTACTTAATACATTTCTTTTATAACTCTATTAATTTTATTTTACTAACGTATAAATAGTGTAAATAACTATAAGTGAAAATAATTTGATAACAAGACGGCACAGATGAAAGATACTATTGCGAATAATATTTGATTTTAGTACAAACAATTTGTACTCTAAACACATTTACAATTTACCATTTCTATTGTTTGCTTGTAACGATAAAATACGTTCTCAATATCTAACTAAAATTCAAGTTAAATAATTGTTTTCATACACTATTAAATATTATAAATTTGTACTAAAATTATCTGTTTAACAGTCAATAATTATCATATGGAGAAGTATAACATCTTTAGATATTGTTGTCGGAAGTAGCTCATCAACAATTAATATGGATAATTAGTTTAAATAATTAACATAGCAACTTTAGTCATGACGAAATGTGACCAATTATACAATTAAAATATGAAATATTTAAACGGAAATCGATTTGATTTTAAATCTTATTGTAAAATAAAACTCAGACAAATATTTAAAGGTACAATTAGTTAATTAATGTTGGTACTGTTTATTAACCGCGATCAAATCCGGACTATTTGCAGTTTTAGAGTTTAAAAAATAACATAATATAATTGTACGCCTTGCCTGGTTCGCATTTCGGTATGTATGTCCATGTACCGTTGTTGCACGTAGCGAGATCGATGTTTCCACTCGTTGGCTCGTATTTGCCGTTGCATTTTACCGACAGTTTGTCACCGTGTTTGGCTAAGATGGGACCATCAGTTTTCGGCATGTAAGGAGTGGAATTGTTTGCCCGGGTGATGTTTACGTGACCTTGTTGGATAACTGGCACAACACATGGAGCTGTAACATACATGGAATCACCCAAATGAAATTATAAGACAAAAAAAATACCAATGATTATGATGTAGGCAAACAAAGGCTGCTTAGTGGGAACTATCGAGTCAGCAATAGTTACACTCACAATAAAAGAGCCGTACTGGTGCTGGTATTCTGATGAAAAAATCGCTAAGACAATAATATTACCGAAGTTAAAATATTCTAACGGTGTATTATCATTGCGTCTACAATAATCTACTAATGATCATATTTTTTTTTACACCAGCAAATAAACGGTAAATTGATTTTTTTTTTTTAAGAACAGTAATTGTATTTTACTAAAACGGCATATATACTAGTATATAAATATACATCACTGTATTGCTTTGCACAACAACCACTACATAGAACACAAGTCCAGCATGACTTAGTTATCGTGATTGCTATTGAAGAAAAACTTACCTAGGCACAGCGGTGGTGGATATCGCCACTGTCCATCGGCAAGGCACACGGTTGAAGAGTTCCCTACAAGAAGCATTCCGTCTTGACATCGGTAAATAATCGTTGCGCCTAGACCAGTGCCGCTTTCGGTGTTCTCTAGCCAACCATTATGAAGCTCTCCCGGAGATCCGCAATCAATCTCTATCGTTACATTTTTATTGTTTTGGGTTCAAAAAAAATTAATAAAAACTTTAACTGTGTACAGAGCCAGTGAAAACAAAGTGAATCACGATTTATCAGACTTTCTTAAACTCAAATTGTATCCAAATATATGATAACAATAAGAACAATACCAGCTGTATTAACTGGTTTGTTGAATTCATATGTTTCTAAAAAAATTGTTTAGTATTTTTATGTCTATAGTAGTAGTAATTATTCTGTAATGAATTTTTTTTTTTTTTTTTTTTATTACATTATGAAATAATTACACAGCCCATAACAAATCTACGATAGTGGTATTAAAATCGATCAAAACCGATACAGCTAGGGTTGCCAACCGCCCTACATTGGTGTCCTACATTTGTTTAACTTGTCCTACGTTCAACAATGTTATGAATTATTTGTAGGACAATCCTACATTTTACAAAAATACCTATTAATATTATTATTTCATATTTATAATATCATTATTATCTTTTTAATTTTATCAATTTATTATTTAATTAAAGTGGTAAACATCCTTTTCTTAGTTATCATTATAATATTGTATACTGTTAGTTGTAGTATTGCTTACTAAACTATGCAATGCCATGGGAGGAATGGGCCATGCTCCCCACCATAGTCCGTATTGTATATAATATAACCATAGTGGTGGTCTTTTTATTTTTTACTTTGCACACCCACCCCACACCACCTACAAAATCCTGGATACGCTGCTGAAACATGGTATAAATTGGATATGAAAAAAATGTTCCTACATTAAACAATTTGAAAGTTGACAACCCTAGATACAGTGCGGTTACACTTACGAGCCATAATAGTTGGCATGTGGAAACGTAAATATCCAATCATCCAAAAAATTAAACATTATGATTAGCGAGTGAATATCGAAATCGGAACTGATGAACAATGATTCTTTAATCAAAGTATGGGCGTTCGGAAAAATGTCCTATTCGTATAATTCAAAGTGATACATTTGAATATTTTTAATTTCAATAAGAAAACACTTTTCCGAATAATAAATGATCCAAATATTGTGTATACTAAAAATAATTCAAAGAATAATTTTTAAAAACATAACAAGTTTTTATTCTTTTATTTTTTTTTCCGAATTTAAGTACAACATTTCTTTCTAAATCGTTTATTGCATTTTTCCACCTAAAAGTTCTCGTATTTTTATTTTTTTTTTTACATTTACCTTGACATGTTGGCGTAGTGCCTGACCACTTGCCGTCCGCACCGCACCTCCTAGTTGGTTCACCGGATAGTATATACCCGTATTTACATTCGTATGATACTACCGAGTTGTAGGACGTAGACGTGAATACCGCGTTTCCGTTATACGGATTTTCGGGAGGACCGCAGTCAACCGCTGAAACCACAACAAACGCGAAAACAACGCCAAACAGTAACTGAACGTAGATTAACCCAAAAGTTATGTGTGGGAAACACTTCGTTTACTACAATTTAAAAATTTACTACAAAAAAAAGTTGTACAAAAAACTTTTGTTTGTAGTTAATATAGGTAACATCTCTATTATGACGATTATTGTTCATGTGTTCAGGTCGTTACTGGTAATAACCGCAGATTTGGAGTTTAATTAAACGGTATGCATTTATGTTGTTCACTTGAACTCTTTTCACGTTTACCTTCGGAGTTTCTAACCTTAAACGGATTCGTAGAATCGTAATAATAATACGTTTATCGCGCGTAATGCGTTCAAAACCGGCTGGAGTTCATTTGTATGAACGGTTATAGGTACATCGTGCCACTCGACGAACAAATACGGCACGAAAACACATGGACCGAACGAGTTAATGCAACCAACCGAGTCGGTACTTGAATTCGTATTTCACAAGACCAAAAAGATAACTGTTCGTTTAGTCGGCAACGGTACACCCAATTTTTGTGCACATGACCTATCGGGACGAAAGGAGTGTTCATGGTGATGAGCGGTTTAAAAGCAGTGCAGTCAAAAATCGTCATAGGTTGCCACACGACGACCGAACACGAACTCGGAATTGAAGTACTTACGCACACATGTCGGTAATTCTTTCGGCACCCAGTATCCGTCCGAATGGCAGAGACGTTCCGACTTTCCGGTGAGCTCGTAACCCTCAGAACATTTGTAAAACAGTCGACAACCGAAATCTGAGCAGTCACCTTGATGCCAACCATTGGGAATCACTGCTGGGGCTTCGCAAGTCCTCGCTGAAATCATATCAATGATTAATGATTTATTTGTTCGCAGATCGTTGTTTTTATTTTTAGGGTTTGTAGCAATATAATTTACAAGTTTTCAGTTTTAATTCAGTGATGCTGACATTATATCCAAAATTACATTTATCGTTCGCATATAAAAAGAGTAATTTATTGATATTTAACTTTAATCTAAATTTTAAACGCTTTTGTAAACTTAAACGCAATTAGTGAACATTGTGAAGGTTGTAATGAAAGTTATTTATTTATGACGTCCATAACTTATTACAATAGTATATATATATATATATATATATATATATATATATATATATATATATATAATTTAAAAATAACTTTTAAAACAAATTATACTTATTAAATTATTCCAAATAATTAAATGAAATCATGGTATCTTATAACAAGGGTATAGTTTATAACAAAAGTGCTTATACTAATATAAATACTGAATTTTAAAGAATGAAGAGCATAATTTCTTATTGTTATTAATAAGGATAAAAAGTACTAAAATATGCATATAAATATGCGTAAAAAATATCAAAATATGCGGTATAATATGCAGCAGAAAATAATAAAATAATTGTTTGAAAAATAATAGACTGGCTACTGACTAGTGTACACTGTACAATGAAGTCGCTTGCATGCAGATGTATGTAATATTATAACGAACAGAAATAATATTGTGTATAAGCTGATAACCTAATGGTTAAACATAATTGTTCACGAATTACCTATGGTTATACAATTTGTTTATGTCATGTTACAAAATATTAATACAGTGGTAAACTTGTTTAAAAATAAATACGAGCTGGCGGTGGTCATTATTACGAGTTCTCGGTACTCTAGATATTATAATATTATTATTAAGTGCATTGGGAGCCGGAGCAATACAAATAATAGCCGTTGATGAATTAATTTATATTTTCAAACGATATAAGACTTAGGATTTTTGCTGTCATATATCTAATATTTTATTATTAAACTATACATTTTTTAAAAAAAATGTTGTTAAATCCATGAAATATGTATATAAATGTTCTTACACCCAAAATATGCGAATTGATACAAAAAATAACAAAATTTGCAAAATTATTCAACAAAAATTTTTATATCTGAAATATACATCCTATGAATCGAATTTGTATCGAATCAGAATTTCAATATGCACTTTCTAGACAAATATGCAAATGCCTAAAGTTCCGAGCCTTGGTTATTAACTTAACATATTCAGAACCATTTTAAAATTTGTAATTAAGTAAGAAAATATTTTATTTAAGTTATGAGCCTGTAAAAACCAAATTAATTGGAAACTTTTTTCGTTATACTTTTTAAACTAAAATAAATAAATAATTTTTTTCTTTCAAACGTATTAAATAATATAATCACATTCTTATGGATAAATAATTATATGTGATTTTAAAATTAAACTTTTTCGAGAAAAAGTTCATATTTTACATGAATGCTGAGTGTAATTTAACTTTAACATTACATACATTGTTATCAGTTTTATTTAATGTTTTTTTTTTGGTTATATATGTAATTTTAATTAAATAAAAAGATAGAACTTTATTTTCAAGTTTTGTATTAATAAGCTAATAATTATTTTACAGGTTCTAACTACAGATAAATTTAATTTGCAAAAATATATAAATGAATGTGTGGAAATATAATGAATGTTTTCATTATTACGTGGAATTATAGAATGTATTAATTTTACAACATTTTTATCGGATGATAAAAATATTTAAAAAAGATCTAGTTAGATCGTGATAATAACTGCTCTAAATAGGAGTCATTTTTCAATTTTCTCAACAATTATTGTTATGAGATAGAAATATCAAATATAAACAAAGTGAAAAATTTTGAAAATCTATTAAAATGTGGTTCTTATTAGTATAATTTTAGTAAAATAAGTAATTATGTGTTTAATTACGGGAAATTTGAATGCATAATTATTTCTGTTATACATTAAACATATTTAAAATTTAAAATATCTTAAACATGTTGTCAATTAATTTTTTTTAAGTTTTTTTTTTTTAATCAACATTTTATTTCTAATATAATAAAATATTTATCCTTTAGAATTTAATGTAATATTAATAAATAACAATAAAAACTATTTAAGTTTTTAAAACTTATTGAAAAATGTATAATACAATACAATTTTGGTAAGACAATTGTGTATTAAATTTATAAATATTTTAATTATTTTTTTCAAAAAGTAAAGTTAGAAAAAAAAAGAATAAGTAGAAACGGCTAATGAAAACTTTAAAATAAGTTGTGATATTTTTTAATGAATAAGTTAATTTGATTATTTAAATTTAAATTTGAAACAATATTTAAAAGTTTACGATAGTAGCCATTGTATCAAAAACCATTTTTCCATACTCCCCACTCGGTGAACAATAGTGAATGTATAATTTTTATTTTCTTAATGGCTAAATAGTATAACACCATTTCATCGATATACTAGCATTGCAATTTTTAATATATTTCTAAACTTGCCACCTTTGTTTTGGAGAGATGTAGCTGACTTCAACTAATTTGGTTTAAAGTGAGGGAGAAGAAGAAAAAGAAGAAGAAGAGGAAGAATATATTTCTAAACACTTACGTTCACACGTTATATCAGGTCCAAACCATGAAGCTGATATATCCATTGCCAAACATTTAGCTCTAGCAAAGCCTCTCATTGTAAACCCGTCTTTACAACGATACTCAACCTCAGATCCAACATCGAATGTTTGCTGATCCGCAAAGGCGTTGTTGATCGCATTATCAATTGTTCGAGGAGACTTACAAAACACTGTAAAATAATATCAATATAATCAATCCACTAATTTATACATATAATTTTTAAATTATTAATGAATATATTTTAATATATTATAGTTTCTTCTAAATGTTTTCGATGCTTTTCTACTCAATTTGATTGGATAAAATATAAAAAAAAATGTATTACATTATTTATTGTTCCTTTGTGGCTTTCTGGTTAATATCATATAAATATTACCAAATTTTCATGTCTTCGGGACATGGATTACGTATACGAAGATCAATATTAAAATGTAAAGTATATATTTTTTGTTACGTGATTTGATATCAAATTACCAACTTATAACAATAAATAATTTATAAGTGCATAATGGAATTTATAAATAGTGAAAAATCAAACCAAATTATTCTTTATGAAAGCTGCAAATTTTGTTTTCGCAAAACACTAAAAAACGATGTACAACGGTGGCCTTACAGTGTAAAAAGTTGTAAGTGCTTTTTAAAATTATTTCCTTTGAATATAATAGTTGAGTGTAATACTGATCATAACCACCATAAAAAAATGACGAAAAATTCCTAAATAAGCAAATATTAAGTAAATCTCTGAAAAAAAATCTTTAGACGACATTTCTTGCAAACCTTCAAAAATTTTCGTTTAGAATTGAAGAAAGACGATGTACCGACTTTGGCAACGAATGATTTATCATTAATTCGACACAATATTTATCGTGCCCGTTTATCTGTACACCCCCTAAAATAAAAAATTAAGAAAAATTCAGACACTATGTTTTCGAAAACAATACATTACCGGACGCCATGATTCCCCTAAATATTTGAGCACGATTTTCTGCTAGCTGCAACCGACTACTAACAACTGTGACAGTTTTCATTCTTATCATCCTAACATCTATAATTTTATTGATGTGTTACTAGAATTTCAATCTGAGATTTATATAAAATTTAGAAGTAATAGAATAAAAAACAATGAAAAAATGTGAAAAAAAAGCATTTTTAAGACAACAGATGATAAAGCTAGCACAAAAATAACTAGATCAGTTTGATTTCGTTGAATCATTATGTTTTGAGTTTTTTTCCAACCAATTATCTCAAAAAAATAATTTTACCTATTCATTAAAAAAAAAAAAAAAAAAATAAAATAATAAATAATTATAAAAATAGTAAAAATAAATTTTTGGGAGACGACTCAGCCAACCTCCTCGTGGTGTCTCCTGAGTAACGCTGATAGGCTGATATGAAGTGATAAATAAAATATGGCCGTAATTCGTACGTGTGTCTCATAAACTTGGGTCGCAACTCTTAGGTCTGTTTCATAACCGCAACTCAACAACACCGAAAAAGTCAATTAAATCGTGATTGATTATAGAAAAATAAAGGAAAGAATACATTGAGAAAAATTTGTCATTTTACCTGTATGTGGTTGTTTTGGTCAAAATTTTAATGGCGAAAAGTTTAGTGATCGAAATATATTTTGATGAAAAAATAAATATTTTAAGGTTATTTTTGTCGTCAGATTTAGGTGACATATCTCTCTTTTTTTTATAGATGAAATTATTTATATTTTATAGCATTCCTCCATGAATGCTAAGAAGAATATCAATATTCATAGTAAAATATAAAAAAAATTAAACTAAAAACTCTATTTAAGTCAACGTATAATGAACAGATGATGAATACTGTATGTATTTACTACGATAAACCTAAGTACATAAGGGTTACATCTATAAAAATATAAGATAAAGTAATCGAAAATTTAATAATTTTATTTATTTCAACCGAAAAACCTATTCGGCCATAAAACATTTCGACCATTTGTTTTTCGACTATAAAACGATTCGATATTTCGATCATATATTATTGATCACTAAATTATTAACCTAATAGCTTTCAACCACATGAATGGTACTGTTTTACATAAAGGTTATTTATTTTAATAGGAGAGATTATTTAAAATAAGTTCTCATTAGATATAAATATGTTAAGAAATATAAATATTTTGGTTAATATTTATCATTATTCAAAATGAATAGATATAAGATATTATATTAGATTAATTGAGGTAAGATTTTTCAAAAAATAAAAAACAAAACAATTATTATCATTATCACAAAAACGAAAAAAGTAAAAAAGATTTCCTATATTTAATATTAACACGTGAGTGATTAACTATTTATGGCAGTGTGTTAAAGATAGTTTAATAACTTTTCTATGAAGGTGGTTTTTTTATAATATGAAATAAAGACCTCTTTGACAGCTGACCCTTAGACAACCTTTGACAGTTTGACATTAGTTGGGTTTCATGAAAAGAGGCATTATCTTTTAGCTTCTTATTTCATACTTGCCCATACGCCTATATTTTTCCATATTTAATTAATAGGAAACATTTTTATAATTCCATAACTAATAGTATTAAATATATTCCTAAAATAATGTTTATAAGTGGAAATACAAACTCTTTGATAAATAATGTTTAACACTAATTCAAAAATAACGAATAATTTAATTATCTATCTTTTGAGAATATGACCATTTTGCAAAATTTGTGCTTTGAAATCGCATACATTTTATATAATTTGAAATATGATAATAAAATAGTATTCTATCAACAAGAATAGATGTATGGAAAGCTAAGAGCTTATTAGAAAAATCATTAAATATAACAAATCAACATTCATAGCAAATATCCTTCCATTAGTTATACATTTTTAGTGAAAATGTATCTTCAATGTTATGATAATAAGTACAATAGATAACTAAATTAAACTTAATTATGGTTTTTATTTTGTATATATTTTACGACTACACGAAACTATATATTTGATTAGTTTAGTTCGTAAAACATAACAGTTAGTGTGACACGAATATAGTAAATTGGTTCAAAAAACTCTTATTATATAATTTGTATATAATTTTATAATTAATTACATAATTGAAAATAAATTATATATATATAGATATTATCATATATTTTTTTCTGAAATCTTATGAATCTGATGATGATATTGTAAAATTAGAGCTTATTAGATAGATGATAGAAATTTAAAAGCTTATATTGATGATTATTCATTTGGATTAAATATCCACACAGCAGAAATAAAAGAAAAATCAGCGATTATGTTTCCAGTGATTAAACACGCATTGAATTATATTTAATATGCATGCATATAGTAAGTATAAAAAAAAATTAATTTACGAAACATCCCTTAATTCTTAATATCATTTTCTAATTTACAATTGCTACTAGAAAATACAAACGTGCATTTCAATTAAAATGGCTTAACAATTTTAAATGGTGAAATATTTAAATTAAATAAAGCTCATTTAGTTAATTCTGCAAATTTTTTTCGTCTAATAATATTTAAAATCTGGTTGGTATACGATCACATGCGAATATCCAGTAGTAGCTAAACTTATTTCAATTTTTTGATGAAGTCAAAAAAATGTCATGGCACACTAGAATAGAGAAATCATGAAAAACATAATTATTATCATACAAATTTACCTACTAATAACCAACATTTTTGTAATTAGTGTGAACTAATAGAACAAGATACTAACAGGTACAATTAAATAATGAACAATTAAAAATAACACTTAAACGGTTCAAGTTTGAATTACATACAACATAGATTTTAAAATATCAACGAGTTCGTTTCATACTTGTTTGTATAATCATACAGTCGATAATACTAATAACAAATGTGTAGGTAAAATAATATATACTTACCACTTTGTTTACAAAATGGTTCCGCGCCAGACCATGAACCTGTGGCATGACAAGTTCTATGATCTCGTCCAATCAGTTGGTATCCGATTTCGCAGCTGTAAGTAGCTTTGTCGTTAAATAGCCTTCCGGTCATTTGCACCACGCCGTGCTCCGGGTTTGGCAGTTCATCACATTCTCTTTCTGTAGATAAAATATAGAACGTTAATGATGTATTTTGGATGTATAGCTCAAGCGAAGTAAATGATAACTTTGATTATGTCAAACGTTTGGCAGCGAAAATAATAAATTCGCATGAAAATTATTATTTTTCTGAATGCCATTCGTTTAGAATGTCAACTATTTTATATACTATCAATAACAATTATTTACAATTCAAGAAGTTTTGCTATCATATAGAATAGACACTTTGTAATAGAAACATGTACAAATCCCAAACGAAGATAAATAAATATAAAAATGAACAGCCAAAACTTGTATTTAAGGTCAAATTTTTATCTTAAAAATAATGACTTAATGTATTTCTTTTTACGTAAATATGAATATTATATTATGATCTTTAATCATAATCAAGATAAACTTTTTCTTAAGTTATTAGATAAAATTAAACTCTAAAACAGTAATAATACCATATAGTTATTATAAAGTACAAAATCTGCAGTGAAGTTTTTTTATTATTTTTATCTTATTCCAGTTTTTTTTATGAATTGAGAAGAAAAAAAAATGTATACAACCGTAAAAATTATTGTTGAAAAAACAATAAGTGGTTTTAAAGATTGTATTCATGCACTGATTCGATTTCTTATCATGTTGTATAATAATACTGTTTTGAAATATTGTATGAAATAAATTATATTTTTTTATTTATAGAATTACGGGGAATTTAAAGTAAAAACATTTTGAATGACAACAATATAAGGAATAAGTATTTTAAAAACAATTTTTTATTATCAAAATAGTTTAACTATATATTAAAACATCTAATTAAAAATATGCATTTATAATAAGGGCAGATAAAATATTAATTACCTAATGTTTGAAGAATATTATTTAAATTTATGATCTAGAAACACAAAAATTATATCAATATAATATAATTATATCAATTATATCATCATCTTATATTATCAGTGGCATAATTTTTTTTTTTTTTGAGAGGGTATGGGGATATATCCAGACGCTTTCTTGTTTAAAATAATTATAATTAAATTTCCGTAAGAACTAAGCTTTAAAAGATTTTAAGATAAGAAATAAGAATACATGGATATTATCATAGTTGAGTTTTTTTTTTTTAATTTACTTATATAAAACTACGATAGTTTAACAATTATAATATATAACAAGAAAATTGTATAGCTTAGAGTTAAAATATAATACTGATAAATCTACAATTTACCACTCTTGTTTAGTGCTTAAGCATGCAATATTTCACAAAAACGTGAAACATTGAAATTTTTTATAAAACCAATATTAATGTTAGTTATTTATCAATTATTTATTATATAATCTAAAAGTTCTTATTATAATCATTAATATTCATGGAATGAGTACAGTGGTTGACATATTACTATAATAACTATATTATACTATATATATTGGGTCTTATTTTCGACTATTTATAGCATTATAGCAAAACTTGGTTTATTTTTCTAGGAAATTGCTTTCGACGACGTCGACAAACAATGTATCATTATATTATTCTATTCAGTGGTATAAGGTATTAACCAGTGATGCCATGTTGGACTTTTTAAGTCCAAATCTGACTGAAAAAATACACAATCTTGCTCCTAGCTTTTATTCTAGCCATTAATTGTTTTTAACTAGCTTAATTCTGATTTAAGTTATATATAATATATTTTAATTAATTGTTGGTGTATATAAGTATAATATTACACAACGACATTGATATCATGAGTTTTTCCCTTCGTTTTCGTTATCAATCCATATCATAAACCATATTTATGGTTGTTATCACAACAAATTATATTTATCTGTGGTGTTGTTAACCAAGGTTTATAGATAATAGATATCTATAAACCTTGGTTGTTAACTACGAATCGGATTTATATTCATATCTAGTTAATAGTTTCACTTTACACCACTTAATCACTTTACACCTCGGACTAGTATATCTTAGTTCGTTTTACGATTGTAGATTCGTGATCAAAAGACTTTAATTCACTATTTTAACATTTTTTAAGTATTACCTATTAATTTTATTTTGTTATTTTTATTACTTATTATTTTATTTTCTTGTTTGTTGTTTTAATGTTGGACTGCTCAGGACATTAAAATGTAATAAACTATGAATTATGATTATTTAATATCTTTATTTATTATAATTAGTGTTCTAATAATATTATTTACTTGTAAAATATGATAAAAAGATTAATAGCTTTACTAAAGAAAAAATGGAAATTACCAACAATTTTAATAGTATTAATATTTTTATTTTTGCGTTAATATGTTTGTTATTAATCGATATTTTTTTCATCTGATTTCCGGCCTATTGTGATAGTACTCATAGCTTTTTAAAATAATTATAGCTGGAAACACTGGTATTAACTATTTTGAAATATTATAAAACTGTAAACGATCAGCAATAGTACAACACCAATGTCTATTATTATTTATATTATATATATTAAAACGAGTAATAAAATAATATTATTTTTTCTGTAACTGTGGATGTGTGTCTATTGTGCGATAATGTAAATTTAATATATTACTAAATTACATATTCAATTATTAAATTAAAAATGAAAAGGCAGTCGAATGCTTTTATTTCTTTTTATTTCAAAAAAATTTAAAGAAACTGATCAAGAAAACAGCTTGTCAAAATGTAATTCAGATCAAGACCAACCTAGCAAAAAATTTGTCGTAATAAAGTTGAACTATTTTTTGAAATAATCTAAATCTTCATACATTTATGTATTTCTTATTACTATGTAATTATTATGGCATACCCATATCCATAAATTTAAAAATAAATAACACAAGGATATTTTCTTAGGAAAAACAAAGAATTAGATCAATGATTTCTGTAGAACAACCTGTAAGTACAAAGTTAGAAAAAATTATAATTAAAAATTAACATTTTTTACAATCATCATTATATCATTTAATTGATAATAATAAATTAATATAATATTGAGATATATGAGATTTAATGGTTAAAAGGAGTGTGGTGGGCATAGCTCCACTAAGAATGATAGTATAAATTTATATCCCAATCCCACCCCAAAACCAATTCCAAATTACGCCACTGTATATTATGGCTTGATCGAAGTGAAAAATAATACAATTATGTCGAATAGTTTGAAAGGCTTTTACTAAATTTTCAAGATATATTTTAAGGATCTACTCGTGAGAATGTACTTTGTAGTATAAGTACTATAAAGTAAATGTGAACAAATTGACAATTAACTTAAAAATTATTGAAAAAGTAAAATTATAAATATTGATAAAACAAGAAGTTATGGATTTTACAGTTTATTTCTAATTATTGAATATATATAAATCAAATGCATACAATTCTTAGAACAACAATATTTATTAGTTATTATAGTGATACTGAGTTACTGATTACCACAAGTTAAAAATATTTTCTCATCATAGGACTGTATCAACAACTATCGAACAAAAATACTCTATATAAGTTTATTTTAGTTACAAATACATCAATTTGTGATAAAATGTATTATTATTATACTTCATAAGACATAAAAAAAATATATTAATATTATAAAATAAATCATACCTATTATCATTTTTTCGATAAAATGATAAAAAATTTTCATAATCAAAACTAAAATTTAATTAGTTGTTGTTGAGTGTTTATTTTAACAGCTTAAAGTTCTTTTAAGTTCATCAAATATATCAAACATTTATAGTAATACAATATAAATTCACGTCATTCACGCCTGAGTACAAAATAGCAAAATATTTTTCTATTGAATTTTCAAATTAATTTTTTTTATCAAATTGAATCATAATATTATTTCATTTAATTTTACCTATATACGGAAAACACCGAAAAATAGTAAACAACGTGCACTAACTTTATATAATACCACAAATACTGTAATAAATATTCGTCAGTAATTCACTGGTCATTTTTAATACTAGCATTAATATTGTAAAGGGTATATCGAAAATAATTGCAAAGTATCTTATTAGTTATTGATATTGTTATATTTATTGAACAGTATTTTGTACAGCAGTGAAAAGTTTTACCCTCTAATAAACCTTTAATATATTGGATACAGTAAACAATAAGTGTCGTAAATTAAAACAATTAAATTATGTCATCGAAAAACACTATGACTTATTTATAACAATTATATTTTCTATAATGATAATTTAAAATGTTCACTGGACACAATATAAATCTCATATTATAAAAAGTAAATCATTTAATTTTATATAATATTAGAACTTTGAACTATGTTACTTGAAAATAGTGAAACGGGATTCATTTATAGAATTTTATAAATGAACGTATTAACTTATTAACATCAGTAAAATATTATTAAGCAAAATTTAATACATATAAATATTAAACGAAAAAGTGGAGATTTAAAATGTTAGATAATCTTAAAAGTTGTTGTATAGAATATGAATGTTTTTTCTTCTTTTAATACTCGTAAAAAACCAATTAAATTAATATTATTTTTAATTGAAAACAATTTATCTTGCAGTTCATTCTGTTGTTTTTACGGATGATTAACTTCATTTTAATAAAATTAACAAGAATTAAACTAAAAGTATAGTTGTTCGTTTTAGTTTCCATTTAAAAGACGTCGTGATTTTCATTTAATATATACCAACTGTAATTTGAATAAGTTGATTTTACATAAATAACTGGGATGAATAAATTAACATATATATATATATTAGGGTATACATAAAAAATAAAACAGAGACAAGAGTTATGTAAAGTATTTTTTTTAAATACTGAGTAAAATATCAAGAAGAAGTTTATATATTTTGTAATACATGCGATTAAAAAAATGGTTTCGTCATGCTTTACAAATTAAACAAATAGTAATGCATTTGAATAAAATACAAGAAAGAGTATACAGTAAATATTGGTCATAAATGGTAGAGTTATAATAATAATCATGGCATTTTTATTTTTTTTTTGGATGTTAAATATAAACAATAGAGTATTTTAACCAAGA